TGCCTCTCGCACAAAGCTTCGTTGCAGGCTCAAGTCGTCAAATGTAAGTTCTTGCTCTTCTACCTACCGCTTTTGTTTGCTTGTTCTCCGTAGGTTGACGATAGTACCTGTATTAATTTAGAATGCAGCTGTCATAACTTTTGAAAGACAACCTTCAGCGAGTTTGTTACTCCGCCCCATCTGACGTCCAGAGTGGTTACAAAGGAATACGCTTATTTCAACACGACCGTGAACAAGCAGGCAGCGGAGTTTTCCTCTGGAGTCAAAGGACTTCTACAGAAAAAAGAAGTTTAAAAATAGAGAAATGAACAACTTGTTAGAGAAATCTACCTTTGAAGAGACGTGGAGTGAAATACGGTCGAAAGAATGTTAAATTTATCGTCAATTTATTGGCAGGATTATGTCGTAGTTCATGCACAGCACGCCAAAAGTGGATCTCTGGAAATCAGTAAAATATTTGAAGACAATCAAACTTTTTTTTTCGTTGAGAAACATTAGGTGTAAAATATTACTACTATAATATACTTCATATGATATTTAAGTAACAGTTATTTTAATATTGTTTTTATTAAGAAGTAACGATGGAGCTTTATTATTATTGTTATTTATTATTGGCAATACGCTAATGCGGTTGGCAAAGATGGCTAAAACATGTTCCGACTCAGCGCTTCGGTCCGAAGGGTTCCGGGTTCGAATCCTACCTTGGACGAGGGTAACCGGCTGTCAGCTGGTTAAAAGCCCTAAAAATACTAGTAATGCTCTCTTGTATGATTGTCTCCTAGTTTAAAAAAGAACATTCTAGCATCCATCGATAGTAGAACTTTGACTACACACGACAACGATTTCATTATATTTTAAAAATTTATTGTATGTCGCTTTTCAACTAACAAAAGTTCTATACCGGCCACCGTAAGTAACATGTACGGTAACGGTATCTGTCACACACACAAATATCCACACCTCGGGCGGGATTCTAACCGGTGACACTTCAGACACGATGCAGTTACAGCTATTCAAAACTTAGTTATCCATGCCACTCGAATTCCTAGAATTATAAGTGATTTAATAAAAGAATAAAAAAAGTTCTGTTACAATTACATTTCAATACAATAAAATTAAGATACAATTATATTACAATTACTTCAAAATTTTTAATAATTGTTTCTTGCTGTTGCCTGTAAATATTGAATAAATGGTTTTGTTTTAGTAAAAGGTGTTTATGCTTTTGTGTTTCCCAATTTTCTTACTTTAAGGAACTAGTTATTGTCAAATATTAATGATTATCTGCATTAACGAGCTACGCTGTTAAAATATTACATATTATTCAAGTAAAGGTTATTTATTTGCCTTTCTTGCGCAAATATTTTCAACTCTATAGGCCTACCATTCTTCACCATTCAAACAAACCTTAAAATTGCAATAAACTCTTATGCATGTCTGCATTAAAAACAATGGTTTCTACTGTATTTATTGACGTGTTATTATCTGCAGACAATGTAAATCAGACCCCTAAACATAATTTGTTGATTGAAAGTTGGTTCTAAATCATTAAAGATGTATACGGTGATTTGCCATGTCATTGCTTTCAATTTAAATTAAATAGGGGATACCTAATGCAAATATCTATGGGTTAAGTTTAACTCGAGCAACATTTCGTCACACACTTCATAATGGATTACGATACTTTCGTTGAGTTTGTGAAGGTAATGGAATACAGAAATTGTAATTGACTTCGTGAAGATCACAGACTTATAAACCACATTCATCAAGACTCGCTTGTATTTAAGAACCAGGATCGATTTATTCTGGTGTAATATATTAATAAACGTCTGAATTTGTGTGGAACTCGCCCACTAAACTGATTCGTCTTTTACCTTCGAAGAGTCACTTTTTACCTTCCAATATTTTACCACATCCTATTATAACAAAAAAAAAACTCCAGCTGAATAAAACATAACTTCATTACAAACGCTTTCGATGCCAGCTGCACTGGCCTGTCCGGTTCAAGTTGCAGGCCTTTGACGAAGATACGATATGAGATACGAAGCTCTCTAACCGAGTGTACTAATACAAAGTCAAACTCGAGACGTATCTGAGCTTTCGATCGAGGCGTCTAACTGTTCAGGAGGGCGACGCCTTATGTGAAGTGAAGTGCTTCTGGTGCTGATGCCGAGCGACGGATGGCAGGCTCTGATGCTACCAGAATTACGTACGATTATGACGGAGGGAGACGTCCTTTTCAGAAAGTAATTTTACAACGACTTTATTACGAGCTTTCACTTTGAATATTATGTAATCTGTTGGAATTCACGAAATTTGTGGAGGAATTGCTTTTAAATTTGTAGGTTATTTTGACTTCCTGTCATCAAGGTTGAATATTTGTTCTTTTTGTTTTCCTTTGTATGCGTTTGTAACCTCGTTTGTTATTCGACGTAATCTATTGTTGCTTTCCTTTTTATCCTCACAACGAACAGCGGCTCGCTGCACTGCCTACGAACTGATGCGGGGAAGTGACAATTCTATTGTCTTCAGTGCTTCTTCCACGGTATTATTCATTTTGAAGTAAATAATATTGAAAATATTTATTTACTCTCTATGGGTTCTTACTTCTTAGCATTGTTGCTTTAATGAAATTAGACGTTGGAAGCAATCGATGGCGGAGGAGGTTAAGAGCGTGTGCCAACAATTAAGCACATCAGTCTGAAGGGTTGCAGGTTCTAATGTCGTACGAGACAGGCATGCCTCGTCTGTTGTGTGGGTGTTGTTGTGTTTCGTCAATGGCCTCAAATGGTCAGGTCTCTCTTATAGTTCACCTCAACCCACCATTTTAAGTTTCACAAATCTAGAAAAGTTAGAAAAAACACAACCAACGAATTTTTTCCTCAATCACACTTCGTGATGAGATGACAGAACATTTGTGAATTAGACATGCAAATAAATGTTGAAACCATAAGTAAGGGTCCGTGTAAACGTCTTCAATTTTCATTTTATGAAAGAGCTTACCCATTTTTGGAACCAAATCTATGCTATTTCAAATATTGTGAAGATAGAACATAATTTGATGTGTTTTTCAATAAATTTTTGAATTTTGTGAAAGTGAGCGGCCATTTACAGTGCCATTCATTATTTCGCTAAGAGGGCCAACCATTAGGCTCCACTCTTGTGAATGAGATGCTTTCGAACTGAAGGCACCCCAAGAATTCAGCAAGTCATGGGCGAACAAACTGGTGAGTCATCGTACGGACAGAAATTTCTAAATCTAAGCTCCTTCTAAGAAACTGACTACAAATCTGCACCAATTATACGTTTTATCAGAGTCGTAGCAATATCGCTTTTGTCTTCTATCGTAAAAGTGCGCACTGACAAAATATAATATTCCTTATATAAAAGCTTAATTTGTTTCTAAAATATAGAGAATGTGCTTTTTACTCGTTCTTATGAAGGAATTTAAAAAGAGAAATCTATGTAATGCTGTACGAAAAAAAGGCGAATTTTCGACAGAAAAACACTTATCACAGGGTTCTGGTAACGAAAAAGTGGACAAATCCAGATGCTAAATTTAGAAAAAAAAATGGTTTAGTAAATTAAATTACATGGTCTTGCGAGCGCGTTTTCTTTCACATTAAAGTCTCATTCTTCGTCTGACATTTTGTGCCGTCACATCATCTTATTTCTCTGATATTGTTCTTGTTGAGGTTGAGAAAACGTGTGATACTCATTCCCACATTCTCGTTTCTAATCAGGTGAAGCTTCGCAGAGGATTAAGTAGGTGATTGCACGTCTGCTAAGTCATGGTGCTAAAATGAAATGTGTACGATGAATGACACTGAGTCATCTCTAACAAAACATTTAATGTCTTTAATAAATTTAACTTGTACCAGGTATTTATGTCCGTGTACACGTATACCAATCAATATTGCCTATTTGAACGGATTATTTTTAAAATTGTCCATTCGACATAAGATATTTCTTTATTTGGTACATTTTCAATTAAATATTTATTGTAAAAATGTTAATTAAACGACAATCTGGCGGAAAAGGGTGTCTTACGAAACTCTTAACGGCCTACACACTTTGTATTCTGTTTATCTTGATTGTTTTTAGGAAGTTAGTTTTTACAATGTTATTACTTTATTCCTAAGAGAAAAACCTCAACAAACATTCCCAGTTTTCCCACGAAATTCGTTCCTCAATAATTTGATAAAAATATGATATGTTATTAAATATTAATTACTTGATTTATTATTTCAGCTTTTTCTCGCCATGAGGCACTTTGAGGGATTCATAGTTTGTTTGAATAGAATTAAGAAGACACGCCCTTACAAGAACAGACGCTTTATTAGTTAATCGGTCAATCGCACGATTCCAAAGATAAGAATGAAAATGGAATGGAAAAAGATAGAATATGAAACGCGGCCTGTGCACTGTATTCGGTGACTTTGCCTTGCAATTCTCCTGGACGTGACAACCCAGGTGGCAAACTATAGCTTTCACGCCTTGTGGAACTGTTCCAAAATCGAAACCAGAATTAAAACCGAGATGTTTTGTTATCAAAACCAAAACTGGGAGCTGAGAACTGAGGGGTTTTATGCCAGAGTGGAGAGGTTTGCGACTTCGGCACGAATTAAAATAATAAATCATTGAAAATATTACTTGTCATCAGTAGTTCGCATTTAAAATCTACTTTTATTCTTCTCTTTCGTAATCCAATTTCATAGAATATCAATGTAATTATTTTTTTGAAAATTAAATCTATAAATGTAATTTAATATAATTGTAGCAAAATCAGGTGTATAATTCCAATGCTGATTATTTTTCTGGTGGGAAAGCTAATAAAATTTGCATTCTGGTCCCATCGGTCTACGGGACCCAAATCTATTTATTATATGATATATTTTATTAAAACACATTTATTTATTTATTTATTTTTCTTTTTAATTATTATTACTACTTACTTTTATTTCAATACTGATTTATCGAATTTATTTATTTCTCAACAGTCATTTAACATAAAATGTCATTGGAGGCAAATAGGTTTCTGCTTCGCTTTCCCGCGCGACGACAGTGCCCAATTGCAGGCTTCAAACCCAGCACACTTCCGTGAAGACTCTTGGAGGAAGGTTGTCCGGCCCCTCGCAATACCTCTCGTAAGTGTCGTTGCAGGGCAGCACCGCCTTGAGTAATTCCGCCCTAGCCGTTAGTTCTCGTGTTGCCTTCGTTCGTGGATGGTTTGCCATTGTGGTGTTTGAAACGGTAACGGCGCTTCTTTACCTCTCAATTGGTAGGTGAGTTATGTTTTAATTACGTATTTGTTACTGATTAAATTTGATTTGTTCGTGACGCAACATTCTTTGAAATAGGGGTTGACGCATTGTTCCCATTGTACATGTACCTGCGTTGTGAAGGTGTTCTTGCTCAACATTACCAGTGCGGGAAATACTCTGGTACCTAGTGAAATGTAATACGAAGAGCCAAAATGTACAGTGCGAAGAATCTTTTTTTTTTTGCATACCTGCATTATAAAAGAACCTTTTATGTTGCAAGAAATCGTTCATAATCGGGCATTTTACGGCACAAATTCTACGTATTCTGCACGTATTTCTACACGTATTAGATTTTATGTCACGAATGATTGCGTCATCACACATTCAGCCAATCTCAGCGTGAGAATCGCGGGTAGGTGGAGCTGAACGGAACAGCCGACCACCGTTTACTCGCACGATGTCAAATAGCCGAGTCGTCAAAGGGACGTTGTTTCGCAAAATGAAGTTTGATTCTCTTGTAAATGTATAATGCTGTTATACAAAAAATATAGAATGCAACTCGTTCATAATGTTGCTTTATTACATTCGTATAAATTTGAAAACTTCGCTCGTTGTCAAAACATGCACTCATGCAATAAAACTTAACATTATAAACTAAGTGCATAAATAACTATTCCAACGTTACTGTTCTCTCGACCGTCGCGAACACAACTATCTCTGATGCGTTCGTGTCTACGCCCCCGCAACCCCTGCGGCCACGGTCCCAAGAACGGAAAGCGGGAGGCGCGCGGTTCGAAGGGAACTCTTCCACACTCGGCTGGCGAGAACCGCGAGTGACCTCCGCCCCCGCCAGCCGCCTCCCAGCGGCCATTGGCGCCCGCGCTCGAGTGCTCGAGGGAGGTGGGGGCGAGGAGGCCGGGTGCCGCCCAGCGGACGGGAAAATCCCGGAGGCCCGCGGGCTGCCCAGAGCGCGCAGCGGCGACGGCACGGAGTGGTGCGCGTGGTGAGGATTCCGGAGGAGGTTGCGCTCGTGGTTTAAAGGTTATCTGCGTATTGTCGCAATAATCCTAGTTTTTTTTCTTAATAAAGAACTGTTAAAGTAGGGTACACGGTGCACCCTCAGAAGCGTGGCGGCAGGGTCTCCTTAAGCTCTCTCTCAAATTACACTACGCGCTTTGATAGAAATGAATAAAACTTACGGATAGGTGATTTTCATGTCTTGTCCTTCATACGCTTTGTTCCCACCGCATTCTAATCCAATTTACTTTCAAAGGGAAGTTTTCTCGCTTCGCTCGCACGGATCCAAGTCACGGCGAGGCTCGGGCCTTCGGCCCTCGCGTTCACTATAAACGTCCTTGAGCCTATCCACCGCATAATAACCAATACTTTTATAAGAAAGTACTTTTCAAGAAAGCCTCCAAAATTCAAACTGTGCCGTTATCGCTGGAGCGGCGCCAAGTGACGGTTTAAAAAGACTTTTGTAAGTTGTACCGTATACTAGACTTCATTCAAATACACAATACGTTATTAAACTTGGTCTAACGTCATTTGCGAATTATACAATCTCATCAGTCATTTGTTAAAGAATACCCTACGTTTTAGCCACCTCGGAAAAATTGTAGAGTACTATTTTTTAAGTTAGTTCCGATAGTCATTCTGCGGAAGATGTTGCTGGTGCTGAAAAATCCATGGGTTATAGGGCAGTTTGCTAATAATGCTATGGAGCAGATTTCGATTTTAAGTTTGAATTTATTCAATTAGAGGAGATGCTTGGATGTGTGAGGACATGATTATTTCACGGTCACGAAGGTCGGGAAAACCCCCCTTTTTTGTAATGTGAAAGAAATATACCCCTTTCGGCTATTGTAATAATGTTCAAATATTGCTTCGTAGTTTAAGAAATTTTACTTAGTTTGTTTTAAAACGGTTTTTACGAATTCCAATCAAATTACCAGTAAACAAAATGAATTCAGGAACTATGGCTTTTAATTAGTGTCCCAAGGTTGTAAACCGTGCAAATGCGTTTTAAAATATTTAAAATAAAATAACGTCCTCTTCTTTGACACGCCTTTGGTATTTTAATCATTTTAAGAGTTGATTCACTAATAAATTTTCTGACAATTTGCACCAAACGATTAGAATTGCAAGAAGTCTATTACTCTTGACGTTGCTTAGGCATTATGATCATTACAATAGTACAATGGTAGTGTCTCGCATATTTTGACCTAGATGAAGGGTTTCAATATTTTTAGAAGGTTCCTCCCCTCGAGTCTGGTTATGCAGTTGTTTATAAGAATCATTGCATGTTAGTTTTGTCCAGTTATAAGATTGAAAACTAAAACTGAAACGTTTTATGCAGTTGTGCTAAAGAAAAAACTAATGAAATTAAGGTAGATAAAATAAAAAGTTGTATTTTATACATTAAATATTGCCACTTTTCTTACATGATAATGTTTAATATTTTCTGGAGTAGAACTCTAGTAGACGGCTGCTTGAGCGGTAGTTTTCCGTGGTGTCTCCGAACAACACCAGGCGAACGCCGGGGCAGTACCCAAACAAGCGGACCAAGCAATACGCGATATTTCCTTCCTCTTCCTTGTACTATCCTTAGCCCGTTACTCACACGCACACTTGCATGCTCTACACTTATGTCGGGAGGTTAAAGCATGATCCGGCTAGGACGGTGCCACCAGGATGGGGAAAACCCCGCTTCCCGAAGCGGTGGGCAGTCTGTGCTGGATCTTGCCATCCAGCAGGGGAATATCACCACAATCTCCTGTGATAAAAGGTTCCACTACGCTTGCGGGACTAACGACTTTAGCAGTTAACGCGCCCGGAATCGACAATCAATCAAATATTTGCCATAGTAATATAGTGCATTGCTGTACGTTACTTCATCTCCAGAGGTTACCATGATTCTGCAGATTTTAATGGGTGCCGTTTAATTATTCTGTCTCGTTCTTGGAAGAAAACAGGTTATTTTATATTCAAAGTAGCATCTTGTTTTCATTATAATTCATGCATTAATTGTCTCATAGTACTCACACATAAAAAAATCGTAAAGTCAATGTTAGTTGTGTGGACTTGTTCTAGAGGAAAATTACTGCAACTTATGAAAAGATCAAAGCATAACGTAAAGTATTCAAAGCTTGTTTAGAAAAGACTAGTTCACTACATATTCTGGAAATAACTTGACTCTTGTTATACAATATAATACGCATTCGCTAGGCTCTATTTATCGAGGTCGCATGTAATTGGCTAGTAAAACAGAACTATTGCAATATTGCTGAAGGAAAATCTTTAACATATCAGATCTGAGGCTTCTGTCAGAAATGAAAATGACTTGACGGGAATTTACTCTCAGAGCAGTTTTATACAATTTGATGGCTCTTTTTCTCTTAGAGGGTCATCTACGATGAAATGCTGGAATTTGTCGCAGTAAAATGTAATGAAACGAGTCACTTTCTAAAAATTTACATAAACATTTAAACAAAAGCTCACAATGACATATCTCGGTTAAATAGCCTTCAGATGTTTCAAGGAATTGTACACTACGGTTAGAAATATTGTAAAGTAAGCTGCCTTACTTTGTTAAAAGATATGCGAAATTGAAGTATTCGAAAATAACTTTCGGAGCATTAGGAGCATTAGTTATTCTTTGGGTTTTTAGAAAGGCGGTGTAAATAGTGATAGTGTGGAAAAATAATATTAAAGATAAGAAAGAACATTTGGCATGAAACTTTTACTGTTAAAGATTGACGTCTTTTGCACAGTCTTATCAATATACACATGATTAAATATACCTACCGGTATATGTATTTTTAGTAAAAATAGAAATGAACTATCTAATACAGAAGCATTGCTTTCAAAATATTTTACGCAAACGCAGATACTTTTCCTGCCTTGTAAAAAGGGTAAAAAAAAGGATTTACGAGAGTTGTGGTGGGACACGATCCCGGATTTTTTTCAGGACTTTAGATTACCTATCATCTCACATTGTAAGTCATTATGGAAATAATCATCTTAATTACTGCATTCATTTATAAAGCACTTAAATATTAATAAACTGACGTTTGAACATAAATAAACATGAAATTAATTAGTACCTGATATTCAGATACATTTTAAAATGGAGAAATTTGAGAGGACGCTATACAACTCGACTCGCTAACATTTCTAGATCATTCAGAGCGATTTGAGGTAGGTCGACCACCAGTGTGTTGAACAATAGTGTAACATGATCCTTCTAGTTGGAGAGATTAGTTGTTATAATTAGAGTAAGAATCTAGGCATCATAATGCTGCGAACGTTTTGGAAAAGACTCATGACTAGGTGCGAGTGTTGGTAAGTTTGGGAAACTTTTCATCCAAGAGGGACAATGGACAGATTCACATTTTCAAAACAAATTACCTAGGCTACATTTTGGCTTATTAAATATCATAATGAAACGTTATATTTTTAAATTGAAGGATAACCTACTCTATTTTTAAATTATTTCGAATTTTCTTTTATGTTGATCACCAGATTTCATCTCGTGGTCTAACCCAATAACGGTTACCACACAAAGCTTCGAGGTTTTCCAAAGTAAGTTTGATTGTCTTGAATATGTGAAGCATTTGCGTAGAAATGACAAAATAGTGCGTTAAAACTCGTAATTCAGATTTCCGATTATGGATTCGGTAGACTTCACTAAATGAGCTCTTTAGTTCTGACTGCAGCTGTAGTAAGAGTATTTTAGCGTCCAAAAGCTATGTAGTCTCATTCTTCTTTATTGAAGTGCTTAGAACAATGTGTGTTCGTGCATTCTCTCCACTGCCTGTTAAGATCTCTCCAATGATTGCCCTTAAATTCCTCGGGTGTATACATTTATCTGTTGCAATTATCATCAGTGATAATATCGACAACGTTCGTAAACGGTACGAAACGTATGACCTAGAGCGAGAGTCTCCAGGGAGCGAAGGGCAGCAAAGAAGCTAGTCTTTCAGGTTGAAAAGTCGAGTTCAAGTCGATACCGAAA